CTTACAGAATTTCCAATGTATAAAAATGCAGTACCTCTGGGATTTTGTTGTGAAGAAAAGCAATGATCTGTGGTACACATCTTCCGGGAGCATGCAGCATAGTGTGGGTGGAGAACTGAAATAACAGGACTGACGTGAGGTGCAGGACAAGAGCAGGGTCTTCTGTGACCTTCAGCTGCTCAGCCAGCGCCTGCCGATGCTGGAATAGTATTTGCCTTAAAGCAAATCACAGAATACATAATTAACAAGGACTCATAGTTTCCATATTTTCCCTTTAGCATCTGTTTTTCACCTTCTCTAGTTTAATAGAAATTCTTTAAATATGGGCAATATGTATATATACTACCTTAGCTTTAGTTGGCACAGGTAGATAAACATGCTAAAAAGTTACAGACAAAGCTATCTAGCAAGGAAATTCAAAGTATACTTTCTTAGGTTGCTGGGATTAAACAAGCCATAACGACTTGACTAAGGTTCCAGGTAAGGAAGGTCTCCAATTTAATATAATGTCCCAGGGTTATTCATCCATGGGCTAGGGAAGTGCTTGGACAGTCACACCCAAATGTCAGCTACAAAAGAGCTCAGGGTTAGGAGTAGCAACAACAGAGTCAACATTACCTTTCCCTTTTTTTGTCTCCCTTTTTCACCATAATGTCACAAGCTTCTGTTGCAGAGTCCAGACAAGAAAGGAAGTCTTCTATGCTCTGAAGACAATTAGTTACATAATTTAATTTTATGGACACTTAATACTGATTTGCAATTTTACACCCCAAACGAAAATTTTTAACAGGGCATTTGGCAAACAGAAACTGTGATTTAGGACTAAAAATAAGTGTTCCCATCCTTTTTCTCCTCTCACCTCCCCAAAGCTACCTGCATACAGTACTAGTTTTAGATTCAGTTTAGAAGGATTTTGACTGGAATGTACATATGGCACTTTATACACAAAGTTCTCAGCGTAGTCACCAGTTAGCACTGACTTACTTTTTCATTCAGGGAGTTGTGGAGTTTGGTGAGAGCTACTTTGGTTTCTTCTGTCAATTTACTTAAAATCTTTTTTCTTATCTGTAAGGGAAAATATTCTTTTGCATTGTGGTTTTGATATATGGTCAAACAGACAAAAAAAAAAAAATCCCCATATATTCAATACTGTTATACAATGCTAAATGTGATGTACAGTGTGTTCTGAATGTTAGGTCTCAAACCAGAGATTCAAAATGTTAAAATATTACAGAATCATAGGGCTGGCCAAACATTAGCCAAAAGACTTCTATGCAGCCCTCATCTTTACAGTCCCAATGATATCAGATGACTACAGGGTGACTGGCCATGAGGGACAGATAGACTTTGGGTAAATAGACTCCATGTGGTTTTTCTTCTCAGTGCTACCTGAAAGGGTGTCACACAGCCCACAGCTCTCACACAGAAAGGGATGCCTGTAGGAAGGATAGTGGATCTTGTTCTGTGGGTGGATGCTTGTATGACAAGTGGTATAAGAAAGCTTTTGGAATCTTTCACAGATGTAGATAATGTGACTTTCATGGCATTGTGGATCAGATGACTCATTCCTTGTAGGACATTTCAGGAAGGGGCTGCTGAAAAGCTTGACAGAAGGACCCGATGGTTGCACTGTGTTTGGGAGGGCAGGCTAGTCAGAGCCTATATGTTGCATCTCATATCAATCCTTAGCTCTGCTTGAGACTACAGAAAAGCTCTGCCAGTATTGTAATTCCTAGAGAGGCAGTTGGTAAAGAGACAGGAGACATGAAACATTTCAAAGTGTTCAGAATGGTTGCTCAAAGAGAAAGAGGAGGAATCCAGTATCTTCCAAGTAGTTGTGGAGGTAAATAAACACCCTTCTGTCTTGGGTTGGAGGGTGGTCCTTATGTAAGGGAGTCACCTAAAATTAAAACACACCAAGAAAAAGCATGCCACCTCTGTGGCAACAAAGCACAGTAACAGAGACCATGGTACTAGATGGGTGTGGTTTTACTACTTCCAAAGCCAGTTATGAATGCAGTTAGGCACATGAAGACCTTCACACTCATTTTCCTTGAATCTCCAACCATAAGATGGTCCCAGAAGGAAAAGAAGGAAGAGACAGAGGTGGAAGAATGGTTATTATTATCTGTAGCTCTACCTCTCATGGCAAGTGCAGAAGTGATGGGCCTGGGCTCTAGTTTAAGATCATAATGTGAAACAAATGAGTATGAGCTTGTCTCAATATTTAAGTGGTATATCGCCTTGCCATCAAAGAAAATGACTGTGAACTCAGGAAACTTAAGTAATTATTAAGGGATAAAGCAACAAGAAAAAGTCTTATTATCATAAACCTCTTTACTATAAGTAGTTTGGTCATTTTATCAATCCTTATAAAATTATATAAGCATTGTACTATACTTAAATTCTTTAGTAGTTTTTGCCATATAAAAACTCATCTACCACAAGATTCAGCAATTCCACTCCTAGGCCTATACCTAAAAGATGCACATTCATACAATAAGGACATCTGTTCAACTATGTTCATAGCAGCATTATTTGTAACAGCCAGAACCTGGAAGCAGCCTAGATGCCCCTCAACTGAAGAGTGGATAGAGAAAATGTGGTACATTTACACAATGGAGTACTACTCAGTGGAAAAAAAAAAATAATGGAATTTTGAAATTCGCAGGCAAATAGATGGCACTAGAAGAAACCATCCTGAGTGAGTCACAAAAAGACAAACATGTTATGTACTCACTCATATATGGATTTTAGACATGGAATAGGGTATTGCCAGCCTACAATCCACACCACCAGAGAGGCTGGGAAACGGGGAGGACCCTAAGAGAGACATGCATGGTACCCTAGAGAAAGGGAATGGGACAGGATCTCCTGAGCAAATTGGAAGCATGGTGGGAGGGGAGAGAGATCTGGGAGAAAGAGAGGGGGAGAAGAGAAGGGGAGAAGAGGACATGGGGGAGCAGGAAGGTTGAGTCAGGGGAAGAATAGAGGGGAGCAAGAAAAGAGATAGCATAATAGAGGGAGCCATTATAGGTATAAAGAGAAATCTGGCACAAGGGAAATGTCCAGAGATCTACAAGGATGACACCAACTGACAATCTAAGCAATAGTGGAGAGGCTACCTTAAATGCCCTTCACTGATAATGAGATTGATGACTACCTTATATGCCATCCTAGAGCCTTCATCCAGTGACTGATGGAAGCAGAAGCAGATACCCACAGCTAAACACTGAACTGAACTTGCAGAGAGTGAGGAGTGATGAGCAAAGGGGTCAAGACCAGGCTGGTGAAGCCCACAGAAAAGGCTGACCTAAACAAAGGGGAGCTTATAGATCCCAGACTGATGGCTGAGAGGCCAGCATGGAACTGATCCACACGCCCTGAACGTGTGTGTCAGTGAGGAGGCCTCAGCAATCTATGAGGCCTTGGGTAGTAGATCAGTATTTATCCCTGGTGCAGGAATGGACTTTGGGAGCCCATTCCATATGGAGGGATAGTCTCTCAGTCTAGATACACGGGGGAGGGTGTAGGCCCTGCCTGGAATGATGTGACAGACATTGAAGATCCCCCGGGAGAGGGGACTGGGACTGACATTTGAAGCAAGCTTGTTACTAATTTAAATTAAAAAAAGAAAAACAACTTGTATTTTCTCTTTAAACTATTTCAAGTAAGAGAAAATAAAAATGTGCTCAGACTCAAATCACATCACCTAGCAAACAAATTACTAACATACTTCACTAGTAATGGCTGCAGGGTCCTCCAGAGCCAACAGTAAATCAGAAGCTAGGAAGTTGAACATGAGGTAGTGATATCAGTACACACTGTCTTCAGGAGGTGCTTGGTCAGAGCAGTCTGTGTGTCATCTGGAAAAGAAGGACTTATGTGAAGACTAATTTCCTTCCAGAATTACAAGAATCAATAAAAATGGCACTGTTAAGTATACCTGCAAAAAACTTCATCCCCTTTTCAAATAATCTGATGTTGTTGTACAGGTTTGAAACCTCTTCTTGTAAGTCCTTGATTGTACGCTTTCTGCCAGTCCCAGAAGCAGAAGTTGAAGACATGAACACTGAACGTACCACCTCAAGATACATTTTATTAAGAGGTCTGTAATAAGACAAATACAATTAATTAAAATGTACAGCCTTTATGTAGATAAGAAATTTTGCCTATAGTGAAATAGCACTTTAAAAAATCTCCATCTTTCTAAGAAATAAAATTAATTTGAAGCAAGGCTCAGTAAAGAAATTGTTTTACAGGTTCAGGAATAATAACTTAAAGTATTCACAGTACTTTTGGGAAAGATGACAAGAATGACAGCAATAAACTCTACAAATCTAAACAGACCATTACAACTAATTTGCAAAATAGCAGAATATAAGTTTGTTCTTCCTTTTCAGGAGTCACAACAGAAAAGTTCTCAATTTCCAAAGTTGTAAGATGATAGATTAAAAACATCTATATGCTCTACAACAGATTACTTTAAAAATGGTGCAATACTGTTTCCATTTTCTAATTTTATACACTATGGCTCTGTAATATTCATAAAATTTACTTATATTAAAAAAATCTCGCTATGTCACTACAGAAGATCTAGGACAGTTACACAGAAAAACACTGTTTCAAAAACAAAACAAAAAATAAAAAACAAACAAATAAAACAAAAAAACTAACACATGGTTTTGGAGATCTCAGTGAAAATTACATTCTGTCAAAAATAGTAAGAGATACAACTTATACTTGCTTTATTAAGTATTCTGCAAGTTCGGAAATAAACTCCTCAGGCGCATCTTGCACATGTTTCTTTAAGTAATCTTCAATTTCATCTTGGAACATGAACATGATGTCTGGCTTCTTCTTTCCTGTAACATACATCAGCAATGGGAAAACAAACACACACTCAACAGCAAAAGCCAGGCAGGAAATACACAAAACTGCGACTTTCAATATAAGTATCTAATAAAATTAAATTTTAAAAGTTCATAAAGTAGAATTTCTTTTAGGTGATCGTTTTCTTAAACTTCCTTTAATAAGACATTGCAGGACAAGGGAACACTTTATTCTCTTCTAACCTGGGAAATGCCAATGGTCAGGTATCAGAACCACCACCTAGGTTATCTTTCAGAAAAGAATGATTTCTCTTCTTTCAACAACAGGCACTGAACAGAATTTCCTTAGTCACAAAACTGAGTACTAAGAAAGTCAACTCAGCCATGAAATTTACATCAGAGCTTCAGAAAGCGATAGGACTAAGTTAAGATTTAATTTTTTGGAAAGATACAAACAAAGAAAATAGACCCTTAGAATTCATTTTTGCTTTCCCAAAGATTATTCTATACTACTAATAAAAACTAGTATGCAGCTAGTGTAATGGAAATGTTGTTAATTATGAAAATGCCATGCCTAACCACTTGAAAAAGTATTGGTAGCAAAGAAAGTGAACAATATTTTCATTATAAATGATAAAGCTATACCTTTATACAAGTGATTATTTCCAGCTAAATCAGATTGATCCTACAAGTGAAACCTTAGCAATAAAATAAAATGGCTCAAAAAACCAATTTTCAGTCTTAATGAGGATCTAAACAGTTGACATCATAGCTTCAAGGGAGATACCCAAGTTCTAGTCCCTTCTAAGATCTGCTCTGCAACCCTGATGTTCAAGCTAAACAGCTTTTTCCTGTTTGCTTCCTGTAAGCCTTTTATAGCTTGTTAAACTCCATTCCTTCCAGTAATCTTGCATACTGACTTGATTCTGTGTTTTAGTTGAGAACCTAATTTCACCCTCCATTTCAGAAATGACAACATAACCCTTTCAAAGCACTGAAATTACTTTTAAGGTAGAATGGTTTTACTACTGCTATAGTGCCTCAATAATCTCCACAGAAAAGAATGTCACATGCCTCATTTCTCTATGATTACAGGTATTAGAGAATAACTTCTTAAAATTCCTCTTTATTCCGGTTCCCACTGTATCTTGGGAATTCAAAAACAATCATACAAAGTGAAAAATAGTAACATACAAAGCCATATCGATGTTGTTTAGAATAAGGGTAGACAGAGTAAACAGTTTCTGTTGGACACTTCCTTTAATTAACATTATTTTCTGCATACTACCAACAGTAGTTATTTCAATCTTTCAAAGGAAAGCCTAAGCAACTGTGATGCTACAAACAGTATCATATTACCTTTATTTGAAGTTTATTTATTTATTTTTTAAATGGTTGCTGGTTGATAAAGAGGTGGTATTATGTTTCATGATCCTTTCTTTAAAATGGAAAAATAGAAATGTATTTAGAAAAGCAAAATAAGATGTCCCTTGCAGTTAACCTTGGCAAACATTTAGAAGTATAGGAAATGAAAGATGCAAGAGGCAGTTAATTAATTCCTTCTCAGATATAAGTAACAAGATACCCATGCATTGTAAAATTTCAAACAAGCATGTGATTCTCTGTATCAGCTTCCAATATCTATTCTTCATCTTCCAATGTCTTCAACTATTTCCAAGAGTTCTTTCAAGGTGAGGAGGCATTGGGTGCACAAAGGTCCTTGTGCTCACAGATACCACTAGGAAACCAGGAATGTTAAACTTGTAGTTGTCTTTTCAAAAGAAAATATGTATAACTTGTTTTCGACCTGGAAAATGGGGAATGGAGGTGGCTAACAGCCTAGGTGATCCTTGCTCCATCTGTAGGGCCAGGCCGCACTAAGCTCCCACAAGTAGGGCTGAAGGTGGCTAATAGCTCAGATAAGCTCTGTACTATCTCACAGGCCCTTAAGGTAACACATGTAACTTAGCTCTAGAACCCACCTTCATGGAAGAGGTAACCTGTACTCTAAGATATTTCAGTGAAATCCATAGGGAACTGATTGTGTTACATCAGTAAACCTTTTCTCAAATTGTACTGTACTTGTTATGCCTAAAAAAAAATGCTGGGGTCAGACTCTAGAATTTTGAACCAACACGTGCTATGAGTTGTGTTGAACTGGATTCCTTCTTGCCTCATATGGATCAACACTCTGCTGGCCCTGGTAGTCACAGAGACTGTTTTCTTGTGTTTTTCTTTTCTTTTCTCTTTTTGTGTATTCTACATCTTCTAAAACTTTTCAACCCCTTTGTTACAATTATATCAATAAATGAGCCAATACTAAGTTCCTCAATTTGCACTTATCTTAAAAAGGCAAACTCAGCATTTCTGGACACCACTCAACATTAAGCTTGATTCCAATTTTGATTTAGTTTGGAGACAGGGTCCTCGTGTAACTAGAACTAAAGGCTGGCCTCAAACTCTTGATTTGTCTGCTTCTACCTCTTTTCTTTTTTCTTTTTTTTTCCTTTTGTTGGTTTTTCAAGACAGGGTTTCTCTGTGCAACAGCCTTGGCTGTCCTGGAATTCACTTTGTAGACCAGCTGGCCTCGACTGCCTCTGCCTTCTGAGTGCTGGAATTAAAGGTGTGTGCCTCCACAGCTGACTCTGTCTCTACCTCTCAAGTGCTGGGTTTATAACTGTGTGCCCCCATGCATGGCTTGAGAGTACTTTTATTCCAGGGTTACTACTTTTCAATTCTTTTATCTTTGAACTATCCATTTTTGTAAATCGTCACATGGGCTTATCGCTGGATGATGAGGGGCAATACAGTTAATTACAAGCTGTTTTGGCAGGAAGAATGACTATGAGTGACTTGATTGCCAAAGACTGTAATAGGCACCTTGTGTTTAGTGATTTCTCGAATGAAAACTAAGAGACAAGTTTATGTTTTTTATTATGAAACTGTGAAATTTGTGATTACTGAAAATACTAAACAAATAATTTCTATACAAACACACATACCTAATTATATGCAATATAAGAAAAATGTTTTACACACACACACACACACACACACACACACACACACACACACACACACACACAAATAAATAATGAAATAAAAGCTACACACCAGCATGAGATGACTGAGATTCCTCATCACTCTCATCATCTTTTCTTCCTTTCTTCTTGATTTTTTTAATTTTGTATTCTCTGGCATTGCCCCCTCCTCCTCCTCTCACACTTCCAGTGCCCTCTGGTGGAAATACATTAGTTAGTATTATTTAATTAACGAGTTTTAGAAAATGATACTATATTGCTGAATTAAACTATGTGATAAAAAATGAAAAGCAAACTAAAGAAAAATTTAAATTCTTTTTAAGGCTGGTTTCCAAATTAAGGTGCTAATTAAGTTCTATCACTAAAATAGAAATCTCTTGAACTGAAGCAATCTCCTGGGATGATTTTAACTGTAATCTACTCAATGCTGCCTCTTTTCTGCAGTTTGCTGGTATCTTTTTAGGCACGTCCATTCCACCACCTTTTTTTCCTCCTAAATTATTTTATGAGTAGGAGTGTTTTGTCTACATGTGTTTGTGTACCATGTGCATGCAGTGCCCATGGAAGCCTGAGAGGGTATCAGATCGTCTGGAACTGGAGTTACAGGTGGCTGTTAGCTGCCACATGGGTGCTGCAATATGAACCAGGGTCCTCTGGAAGACCAGCTAGTGCTCTTAACCACTGGGCCATATTTTCAGTCACCCTTTTACCTTTTTTTATCCCCTCAAAAATATCCTTTCATCTACTCATCTCTGTTATCACAGCATGATTTTATTTTCTCCTGACATATCCATTGGTTTTCCTTTGTTTTTTGTTCTTCTCAGAAGGGGGCTATCTGATATGCAAGTATGGGAATGGAATGTGCTAATGAAGCCCCTTTGTCTTATTCGCAAGTACTTACAGACAACACAGCTCTTAGACTCACTTATCAATGATTACCTGTTGCTTTCTTCCTGCGCTCATCTTTTTTGTCCTTTTTATTTGTATTAACACTTTCTAAAATGGAAACTTGTTTCAGATCTTCTTCAGTGATTAAATGCACCGGATTATTTTTCATTTCCTGAAATAAAACATCCTTTTTTGTAGGCAATGTATATACATTTTAAACAGCAGAGAAGTTGCTTATTTACTCATACATCCTAATTTATCATTGCTAGGTTTCATTGCTAATGATGATAAAACTCATAACTGTTGTCTGTCTTTGTGTATCTTCTCTCCCTGGCTAATGAAAGCAGCAAGGTAACCAAACAGCATCTGACTGGAGAGCAAGAGATGCAGTCTTCCCCAGATGTCACAACAGAATCCCCCTTGTCCCTTTCTTTTTTGAGACTCCTGAGCACTGTGCCACCAGGATATTTAAAATTACAACAAAGATATGGAAACTTCTATAACTCCTATGACTATAACCAATTCAAAAAATCTATTTTTCTTATGAATTAGTTACTGAAGAGCTCTACTACTTAAAATTTATGTTAACAATTAACAATGACAAACTATTTCCAGCTTCAGAAATCAGCTCTTTTTTTAATGAGAAATAGTTCTTTAATCTCTAGTGATGAAAATGATTAAAATATTATCATTTTCTTTTGGTTTCTTAGTAAAAATATTTAGGATAATTAAGATTCCAGGACTACGATTACTTTTTTCTTTCTTTTCCTTATTTTTTATTTATTTACTTTTTGTTGTTGTTGTTTTTTGAAACAAGGTTTCTCTGTGTAGCACTGATAGACCAGGTTGGCCTTGAACTCAGAGAGATCCGTCTGCCTTTTCCTCCTGAGTGCTGGGATTAAAGGCTTGTGCCACCACTGCCAGCCAAAATTACCTTTTTCTAAACCCATTCTTTTTTTTTTGGTTAAATAGAGTTCAAAAAAATATGAAGATCTACTTGTCCAAGTACAGAATAAGCACATTTAAGTCCAGTTTACTGATATCACATACATATTTTTTATTCTTGCCTGCTTAGCAGGACAATTGCAGAAAACTATCTCACAGTCACATTACTAATGTTGAAAAGAATAGACTTAAACACAAATGATTTACACATTTAGTAGGTCCACAAGAATTCACCAACAGTATATTAAGACATAGGGCTTATTTTATCTGAGAACAGGCTTTATACAGAGATGGTGGTTTTAACCACAAGCATGAATTGGATGGCTATGAAGACAGGCCTGGCAAGAACTCTGCTTCAAAATACTTTTAGACAGCAGTCAAATACTAAAAATTTAAAAAAGAAAATTGTTCAGGAGCTAGAGAGATGGCTCAATGGTGACAAGCACCAGTTACCCCTTCAGAGGATCCAGGTTTGATTCCAGCACCATCATGGAGGCTCACACTGCCTGTAATTTAAACTTCGGGTACTCAATAGGCTTTGTGCTGACCTCCGAGGGCACCCAAATACATGGGTACATGAATACATGGACATATATGGATAAATATAAATAAGCAAATACATTTTTAAAAAAGTCATCAGTTTTTGATTGTTTAAGATAAGGTCTTAATATAGAGCTCAGGGCTGACCTTGAACCCAAACAGACTTTAGCTAGTATTCATTGCCCTTAGCTCCAGAGTGCTGGAACCACAGGAATGCACCATCATGCTTGAAAACTAATAAACTTTGATAGTAACAAAATTTCTTTTCTCGGTGAGTCATCCTGTTTCTTCTAACCAGGTAAAATCAATGAGGCTTTGCCAGATTTAATGATTATCTGTGGTGCTAACATCCTTTGAATTAAAACATGCTCACTGAGTTTCTTTCTTTGATACCTCTCTGATCACAAAATAGGTTTGACTTGCATATAGGTAACACTTTTATGATTTTATGTTTTTAACAGTGGATCAAATACCTTGGCAACTTAAAATTGAAAACTATGTAATTTTATTGATAAGATTTTAACTTTTAAAATTAGTTCTTTAACTTTTACCAGGTTCTAACAAAGAAGGAGAAAAGGAAGAGTTGTGCAAGATGATATATATGCCTTTGTGGTCGGTCAGACTGCTTAAAGCATTTCCGCAAAGCTATCATGATCCTAATTGGAAAGAAGCTACTGTTAAGATTAGCAGGGGGAGGAATACCTTTTCGGCTTTTTGGTGCATCCGTTCACTGAACAGTACTGTACACTCATTTATAAATTTCTCACTGACCACTACTGTGTCATTAAAGACTATAGCTGAAGCTTGCTTGCTGAATGGTCTCATCACCTGCTGAAGCAGCATGGCAGCATCTTCAACTGACAAAGAACTGGGCAGCAGAGGCTGGAATGACAAGCAAAATGAAAATGAGAGAAATGCAGGAAAAACAGGCTATGTGCTTCATATGTATAACATGCATGTACGGGTGAAGATATGTGTATAAATGTGATTCCCCTCAAGTAACCTCACTTAAGCCAGAAGTAGTTATGATCCCAATTTCCCAAACTGTTTTTCTAGTCTCATCAGGAAGTGGAACTCTAGAGTCATGCATCATTTTTTAACCCAATTTCTCCACTTGCATGCCTTATAGGAGTCTCTAGTTGGGCAAACCACCACCAAAACCTACAGACCCTTCTTACCAACTTACAAATAATTCACCAGTAAGTCCTCACAATTTTACCTGTACAAAGTTTCTTTTCAACTTCTATCACCTGAATTATTATTTTAATGACTATTTTACACATCTCTCCCTATGGATTGCATATCTTAAGAGAAGACATTTGTTTGTCTACCATATTTCTAGCATATGGAACATTGCCTACCACACAGAAACCACCTGAGACCTGCTGTAAGAATAAAGATGCCTTAAGAATTTGGTACCCAAAGCAGGAGTCTTCTTTCTACCTTATAAAAATGCCTACACTGTAATTAGAAATGACAGACTGGCCTCCAGCTTACCTTTACCCATACTGAAGTGTCTCTGTGGCATATTAAGGGGCAGGTGAACCTTGAACAATGAAGTAAAGCACTATCTGTGCTAAAGCAATTTATGCTAACACATTAGGCAATTACTGGAGAAGGGATAAACAAATGCACCAGGATGTCTGAAGCCATAGCAGTTGTACAAGCTTGGTTAAGACATATTATAATGGTTACTTTCAGTTGCTAACTGACACAATCCAGAATCAATGGAAAGAGTCTCAGTGAGGAACAATCTAGATCAGGTTGGCCTGTGGGCATGTCTGTGAAGGACTGCCTTGATGGTGTTAATTAGTATAAGAAGACTCGGCCTAACAGTGGCACCATTCCCTGGGTTTTGGTCCTGGATTGGATAAAAAGGAAGAAAGTAAATCTAGCACACTAGCAAGCATTGCATAGTTTGTTCTCTGTCCTAGATTGTAGCTGTACTATGACTAGCTGCTTCATATTCCTGCTCCCTTACTTCCCATAGTGACAGACTGGCAACTTGGAACTGTGAGCTAAAACAAGCCTGTTCACCTTCAAGCTGGTTTTATCAGGGTATCTTTCATAGTAACTAGAAGGAAAACTCAGACAGATGTGTAAAATCTCACTAAAAATTTCACTGTCAGGACTGAAATGCTGACATTACTGCTTTGTTTTTGAGATTTACAAAATTCTGGATTAGATTATGTACACTTAAAACATCACTTTAAGCCTAAAATAATTAAAATTTCTGTTGTAAAAATGAATGCTAGAATTTACGTCTAAAGGCAATATTAGCTTTACAGGGCCTGTTTCTAAAATGGGCACATATTAGCAAAATATCACCCATCACTGGCTTAAACAAAAATTAAGAGAAAAAGGTAAACATACAGAAATATCAACCCACGTCCCCGAGCTGATGGCTTCCTCTACTGATGCTTCCACCTGGTCCACGAGTCCTTGACCAACACAAGCTGCCTTCAAAAACAAGAGTTGTGTGTTCTTATACCTTTTCTTTATATAGTTCACAGCATCTGGGATTCCAAGTCTAGACAAGGCATCAAACTCTAGAAATACACAAGAAAGTTGAATAGAACTTTTCAGTCACTCACACCTTCCAGAGGTCTTGTAAAAATTTCTACATAAACCCATCTTTGTGAATGTAATATATTCCAGCATTTTCCAAGGAAAAAAAGAAAAGAAACATAATGTAGCTTGTTATGTGGTTACTTTCCTAGATGGCTATTACTAAGGATCTATGTAGGAAACCTGCTTCAAATGTTCCCTGACCACAAGGGTTCTCTTCCCCATCCGAAGGGTTGAAGGAAAAAAGGACTACAGAGCAATACAATGAAAAATGGCAGTATGGGGAATGGTAATGGTTCAAATTAAAACTCAAAACTGGAACCTACTTTGCTTATTTTAGTTAAAGGAATGAATTTTATTTTTCAAAATGTGTCATTGTACAAAAGGACATAGCCATTATCCAAAGTGGACGATTTAATATAACAGACTCAGAGTCACAGACATTACTGGTACTGAAAGCAATACAGTTATTAAGAAAACCAGTAATGAAGTTCTAACTGAAGTCTGGTTGAAGAAGTTGAATGCATATTATCAGAGATAAAGTGAACAAAGCCCTGCACTGGAGTATATGTTTAGACTTAGAAGAATGTGCCCCACTATGCAGCTTGGTCAGGGCTGCACTCAGCCAATGATGTGGCCACTGCTCTCAGTCAGTCAGTCCACAGAAATGATGGCAGAAGCTCGGAAGCATACTTTACAGTAGTATTAATGTTTCTGAGTAGTAGATAACTAATAATATAGTAAATACTGCAAAGCTGACAGCCAATGAATATTTCTAAAATGAAATAACTGGTAACAATAAGCACACTACATTAAACACACAATATTTGCTTTTTGAATTTAAAAACTTAAATATTTTATAACACCTTTATATAAGTTAGTAACTGTCAATACCATCTTTTGGCATTTTTAAATTTCAGTAATAATGGAATTAATTTCAGTTCCTAAGCCCCACAGAATTGAAAGTGACTACTTTTGAGGTCAAAAAGAACATGACAATCACAGGAAAATGCATGTGGCCTCTGGGATACAACACTTTGCAACAACATTTCAGGGATAGGCAGACATTTTAGCCCTGAAGAAAAGAAAAGAAAAAATAGTTACCTAGGTAGCCATTCTGCCTGAAAAAGGAATCCACCCAAGTACTCTGTGTCCTGGAGTAGATGTCAGGGACAAACACTGCTTTATCCTGTCGCCCACCAACTACAGTGCCTCGTAGGTCAGAATAGGGACACAGCTTTAATGGCCAAGGGCTTTCCAGTCAGTCTTCCTAAACTCTATGCTTTTAAAAGATATATTAAAATTTAAGCACCATGCATGAAATTACACTTTAAAGAAAAAAATCCCTGATATTTCTTTTATAAGAGTACTCAGACTGTAATTCAGGGAAAATTTTGAAACCAGTGTAACTCAAACCAGACAATATTTACACATTGAGTAGTTTTTTGAGCAAAACAACACTCTGGTCATCAAATCAGAAATGGAGGCCATGGAAGAGAAGGAAGCATCATAAGAGTGGGAAGGATTTGTAAAGAGGGGGTAATGGAATAATGTGACATTAAAGCAAAAGGGAGAGGGCTATTAGAGAAGTAGTAGAAATGGAGGTGAAAGACAACTAAGAACAAAATATGACACATATGTATTAAAATGCCATAACAAAACTCATTACTTTGTATGTTAATTCACAAACTTGATTAAAAAGTCATCACCCATCATTTATTTCATAATTTGAAGTAAAGCAGTAAAGTGACCAGATACTTTAAGAATGGATAGTTCAATCACTAGCATTATACATTCAATTAATACCAGGACACATTAGAATCAGCAGTGTGATCACCTTCCATTGTTACTACATGCCTGTTTAACCTGAAGCAGCATATCAACCATTCTTAGTGAAGACATAAAAGGCTCAGGGAAGGGTTCTGTGGCTCCAGTGGTCAAGGGCATCTATTAACTATAAAACACTGGGCAAATAATTTCCTTAGTGCCTTTGCTTTCTTATCTATGAAATGGGGGACAATAACATTACCTCTCTCACAAGGCTGCTGTATTCAAGTCAATGACTTCCATCAGCCAGCATATCATAAGCACTCAATACATATTAGGCACAAATTCATCCTCCTAATTCTGGGGCCAGTCTGAATTCTAACTGGACTTTAGGCATACTCAACAAGAGAGAAATCATGCTTCATATGCTAATGGTATCTGAGGCTAGTGGAGTCACAGATCTTGGAGGAGAACCAACAACCACACTTTCCCTAACCAGCATAATCCTAACTGTATTCTAAACATCTGTCCTTATACCCAGTATAGTCCTCACCCCTTACCAAGAAAACTTTGTGTAACACACCAAGATCATTACAGAAAACCACAGCCAATCAAAATGCAGAGCACCTAAGGCTCAGGGAACACTGTGAAAGACAGCATGGAAAGATTATAGGAGTCACAGCAATGGGGAATTTACTGTCAAACTGTGCCTCCTAGGAGTGTCAAAATCTCACCAACATGACTACCCAAGCCCAGGAGGCCTCAACCTTAACACATAGACTACAGGGACCTAAGAAACACTGAGGGCAGAAGAATGTCTTCCCCAGGAAAAAGCACCCAGATCAGTTATCCAGTAAGACACACACACACACACACACACACACACCACCACACCACCACCAATTAATGAAAAAAATAGGTCATGAATTTGGAAGAGAGCCAAGAGAAGTTTGAGAAGTTTGGAGCACAGAAGGGGGAGGAATAATATTGTTGTACTATAATCTCAAGAAATAAAAGACATAATAAACTTTAGAAAAGAAGAAAATGAGAAAATCAATGACTTTCATCAACAGTCTATAAAGCAGTGCTACATTCTGGATGCTGACTGTCTTCTTGATCCTATAGAAGTACTACTGGGACTGATGGAGCTTGCAGGAGATAGAACCCATGGGGAAGCCCTTGGGTCATTAAATGTATGCCCTTGAAGAGAATTGTGTGAAACCTTCTCTTTCTCACCACTGGAGATAAAAGCCAAGTACTTGTGCATTCTCAAAAACCACTATATTACTGAGTTACACCCACAATCCAAACTATAAAAATTGAAATAAAACTCACAGTAAAGAAGCTGCTCCTGAAATCCGTATTTTGAAATCACAGAATTCACTGCTGTAGGCCTATATGGTAAATTTAAAAAATTGAAACAAATTCACTATAGAATTGCATATGATTAAAAAAAATACAAACTGGAGTTTATTAAAAGAAAACACCAATTAATTTAAAGAAAAAAATGATGACAAAGTCATATCAACTCTTAGATACCTGATCAGGATTGTGCTACCCAGATAGCAGGAATGAGTCCATCCATAACCCATATCCATTTCCATTATGATTCCAGCATGTTTTCCCTTCTGTGATGCTGGACTTGCCCTTGACCCTCACTGTGCAGCACGATGATAGCCAAGGATGATTACGTCTCTCATAATGAAATGCTGTGGGACCTCCCTATGACTTGTACATTTACATTTCTAGATGTCCTTATTTTCTAATGCAATACGTTATCAGAACAGTTTAGTGTATATGTAACTTTACTCCCAAGTATTTTCAGTACATGGCTGCATCCATAAATGATACAGAACTCACAGACACGTGAGGGAGGGTGAATTAATTTTCCTTACTGTGGTTGCCCTCTCCTCACTTGAGAATATTCAAGTGAGTGTTATATGATTTTGTTTTTGAAGAAAAGTGAGATAATATGTGTATTTAAATCTATCGGATTATATCTAGACAAAAGTGTTTGGGAGAAATCAATTTCAATATGCTCTTTTTATATATCTGTATTTTCTGTAACATGAATGAAGTAGTTTAGTCATGAACATCACTCTATAATACAGATATATCCAGGTTTGTTTATATGTCCAGCTGATAGATATTTATAGGGTCTATTACAATAGTTTGAAGCATTATTAATATATTTAATGAATGTCATGTATTCATGCCTTTGTATGGGCATTGTATGTTGAATGTGGTAGTGGGATAAGGAGTGCTAAAGATTCATTACAGGGTTTTGTGCATGTATAGGTAGCTCTCACACTATCACTGACTTATATCCCCAAACCATCATATATTTTTAGATAGCTCTACTTTTTTTGGTTCTTTGTGTATGATGTATATATGCTCAGATATGCGAGCATATCTATGAGCCTGTGGAGGCCAAGGGGCAACTCTGAATATCTTCCATTATCCAACTACTTTATTTTTTGAGCCAGGGTTTCTCATTCCACTTGCAGCTTCCTATTTAGTTAGAGTCAATGTCTAGAGAGCTCCCAGGATTTGCCCGTCTCCACTCTACAGTACTCTGATCCCAGATATGAGCTTCCATGCTTAGCTTTAAGAGCGATGTTGAGGATCCATGAAAACACTCAGGTCCTTATTCTTGCAGAGCACATACTTTACCCATGAAGCCATTTCCTCAGCCCTGTATTTACTTTTTTTTTTCTTAAAGTAAGATTTTGTTTGTATTTACTGTAAGCTATCACCCATGTTCTCCAGTTAGATTTTATTTTTATGTATATTCAAAGTCCTAATTTAATGAATTTCAGCTTTTTAAAAGAAAAAAGTTAAGGTCAAATAACAAAGTTGGGGAACACTAAGTACCCAATGAAACAAACAAACAAACTGTTAGTCTGAGGAGGAATGGGATACATGGAACTAAAATTCCATCCCTGCACATGACTATTTGTTTCCTTTATAAAGGAACACATAGCTTAAGACATATATCTGTCAAGTGAATATAACACACTAATCTGTAATTGGAAAAATCTAAATAGTATATCATCTGCTAAGATAAGAATAACGTGTTCCTTCTGCGAATTACTGACAATGATGGGCAACCTAAATACTGACATTCACATGCACAAACAGTCCCATCTCAACTCCAAGCAAGTTTGGAGTGATATCTGCTCGTATCACATGGCCACTATGAAATAGAGCAATGGACTGAAATTCTTCTATTTTAGTGATTGCATAGTCTTTCCAGGATTTCAGTGTGACTTTCATACGGTGATGCTAGCATTGATTTTAACACTGTTTTCTGTAGAAGTACAAAAAAAAGTACTTTTGCGCAGAGAAACTAAAGCAATGTCAGTGGAGACAGCTGAGTCTGGGGACCCTGGAGGCTCTCTTTCTACCTGTTTAATACACTGGGATGCTTAATGAGATTTTGCTTTAAAAGATTCAACTACTAGATACAAATCACATCAAAATTATGTACAAATATATATATACACATATATACATACGTAAAACATGTTCACCTGGTAATAGCGCTGAAGAGCCCACGGATGCGTGCTTTATGGCGAGCTACAAAGGCCTCAGTGAAAATCACCCCTTTGTTATCAAGGTCAATATGGCCATTGATAGTTCGGCCCAGTCGCTGAGTTAGTGCCTGGGAATAAGATGTCAATTTTGTTAATTTGAAATAATAAAATTAAAATATGTGTTTGTACAATCCTACTCAATTTATGCTATGTGTTGTGACAGAAATTTCAACTGCACAAATTATATCATACATAAACTAAAATGATGGATTAGTACCTAGAAAGCTTCATTGTGTCAGGGCAGAGTGAGGATTAGCTATAATAATAGTAATTATTAGTTAATTGATAAAGGATTAACTCTAATAATAGCTCTTGGTTACAATACTTATTTCTAATAGAAAAGAAAAATGATTGATTAGCCAGTTTTCTAGATATAAATGTTTTTCAACATACAAATAGCAAGACGGGTCTCAGAAAAGCCTCTATTTGAACCTTTGGACACTAACAAGAAAACACAACAGATGGCTTAGTTTGTAGGCAACAGTTATTGCACTACAGTCCTGATATCTGAATTTAGTATGAAAACAAATACCTAGAGTTAGGTAATAATATGAGATTCTGTTTTTCCATCATGGTCACAGTTTAGAGGAGGAAACTGATGGCAAGAAAAGAATGGTACTACTGACATTTTAATAAGAAAATCCTTTGCTGAAGGTGTTCTGCTTTACAAAATATTCAGCAGCAGCCTTAATCTCCACCCCCTCTATATTGTAATATTTAGAAATAATAGAAAAGCGGTATATATATGCTGGTGAGTTTCTGAGCAGTGCACATCATAATCACTAGGCAAATCTATGCACCTGTGGTACATGTACTACTATGGCATCATGACAGTCCTAGTATGTATTTATTAACTCATCTTAGTTATATTGTGGCTGGGGACTCTGGATAATTGTAATCATTTTCAACAAGTCTCTCTAGAAACAGTGGTATACACAACCAAAATACATAGCTATGAGAGGTATCCATCTACTTGCACCTTATGTAAAAACACCTAATCCTGTTCCCCACTAAGTTTCTTTAAATTCTTTATACTATTAGGGAAAAAAAATACCTGTGTGAGAAAATCCCCAGGAAGGTCATAGGTTTTACACAGTTCTGAGATAGTTACTTGACCACTTTCTTGCAATTTATCATTTACCTCTTCTGATAACCGATCCAGATAGTTCCTAATATTGAAGAAAAGTTTTTTAACAACTGAAAAACATTTTCCTTCTGTATTCTTTCCTGTTCATATATTCTTGGAGTATGGTAGGTCCCCAAAGTAATGAATGGGCTGAGAAGGAACATCATCCACTGCTCAGATTCTAAAGCTTATTTTTAGCTCATGGATGCAATTAAATTAATGGTTAATCAAATGGTGGTTTTTTTTTTTCCTTCTGCCAATAGAAATTGTATAGTCATTTCCCATTAATATTTTCAGGACACATTTACTTTGAGTTCAATTAATTTATGACAAATCATAAAAGTGCTGTTTTTGTATTGCTTTAATAGAAAAAAGATCAAATTTATATTATTTACGAATATGTATTCCTATAATTAGCATTTACATCTAAAATGGAATGATTTTTATAATGAAATGACTTTTATACTGTATTACATGAGCTCTAAACAAAAAGCCTAACTGGCTATGACTGGCCTAAATTTAAATACTATTTGAAAGAAGGATAGAAAGTGCTTCTAAATATTATACTTACTCATCTATCAGTTGACCCAATACTATTTGGACATGCTTCTCTGATTTAATAATGTCACTGATTCTATTTTCAATATGAGTCAGGTCCACATTAATAACCTAGAATTAGAAATTATATGAAGTTTGTTATTTTTAGATTATTGTTAAATTTAAGATTATACATTTAGCATTATACTTTTATATTCATTCACAGATGAATTTTGAATTGCTTTAAAATACTGATAGCTGAGTATGGTGGCAAACACCTATAGTCCTAGCAAGTAGAAGGACAGCCACAAGTTCAAGGCTGGTGTGGTCTACACAGCCACTTCAGGGCAAGACAGAGACATAGAATAAGACAAGGCACTGCTAATTAAAAAAACAAAAAACAGAAAATAGAGGAAGCCCATTGTTTATTGTTGAGTTCTAAAGAATTACATTTTTTCTAGGAAAACTTGTATTAAGCAGTGAACTCTATTTTCATAAAAAAAAAATGCCATTTCATGTAAAATTTTCTAGTTTCTATACCACCTTGGTGGTCATATATACTTTTTAATGTTTTAAAAGTATTTTTCTTTCTTTTTAAAACTATTACTCTAGTTTTCTATATACTAAAGCATATAAATATGAAACTCTAATGTTCTCCCAAAACTACATTAAAACTTACAATTTTATAATGATAAGTGTTGAGTTTATATATAAAGAACATACTCAAACAAGAAGGAAAACATCACAACTATTTCTCCACAAACATTATACCATATATGACACCAGTGCTAGTGAATACTTAGAAAGGAACTTAACAAATCCATAGTATTAGAAATTAAGAAACTTTTCAGAAATCAAAGCAAAATTTTTAAAAATTTACCTGTTGTAAGTCAACAATGTTTACTCGACCTTTGGACAAAAGACAGGTATTTAAATTATATGGAAGTACAGCCAAGCAGCATAAATTCTTACACTACAGTGGTGATCAGTCCAAGTCCTTCTACAAAGGGCACAGGGCCACAATGACTGATGCACTGAGATACAAATTACTACCTGATCAATCTTCAATGGTTAAAGCCACAGGCAATAATACTGTTTTCAAAGCTGTTTTTATCACATCAGACCCACTTCTGAACATCAGCCGACACA